ATGTGAAAAGTGGAATGTTTAAGTATGAGTTAATATATAAGTAAAAGAGATTATGGTGTAGAAATGYTAGTTGTGAATGTTATGTTGYTAGTARTAAGTTGGGTGATGCATGTTCTATGTCTGGTTTAATGTGTTTGATTGCCTATTGTTTCCAAGTATTAAAGTTGTTGTGGGTAGCAATCTCACTGAGTAATTTCTTTCCGGAATTACTTACTCCTCCTTCTTCTCTCCTTTCAGGTGATACCGATTTTACCGAGTAGTGGCTCAAGGTGGATGTTGTCCGGGTGCTGGTTTTAGTGGGATTTATGTTGGATTTTTAAACAGTTTACTTAGTATTTTCTACATTGATTTTCACGTGAAGGATTTATTAAGTTGGAATTATGGTTTTTGTGGAATGATTTAAGACTTGAGTTATGGAATAAAGTATTGATTTTCATAAAAGTATCCGTTAGAATTGATAGATTTTTTTATGACTTGCCGTCTCGGCTAAGTAAGCGAATCGGGTGTCACAATGTCGATCCATCATTGATATTCGTTTAGTTTTTTGTCTAAAGTTGGTGATGATTAAGTGGTTTTTTTCGCAATTTGTGGAGTGTAATCCCAGACCAGTTCGCTATCAAACTCATTAACGGAAGCTAGAAGAAAGCGCAAGCCGAAGGCCCGAAGCCAATCATCGAAAAGACAAAAATAAAAGTAAAAACAAATCCCTAACTTTAACTCCAAGGTATCAACAAATTCCAAGATTACACATTTCTGAATAACCCAAACTAAAACCGAACAAGTCATTGAAACATGAGCTTCAACAAAGGATTAAGGACGAAAGAGCATAATATAGCACAAGAGTTTGGACCTGGAAAGTGGAAACAAAGAAAGTGAAAAGAGACCAAGTTCTGTTCCAAACCAGACCTCAAAAGTGAGGATAGTCAGGATGGAAAGGGTTCGTGTAATCCTCGATCTCATAGCCGTCCGAGTCATATACTGTAGTGTATTTTCCATACTTTCCAAAGTATGGGCA